CGAAACGTCAGCCTTCCTGCTCCTCTGATGCTGCTTGGCCTGCTGTGTTCATCCAGCTCTACACCTCATATATCTCAGATTCTCCAGCATCTGCAGTTCATACTATCTCTGAAACAACCTCTATTTACTCAGTTGCTGGGCCTTGGTTCTCAATTGATCCGCAGAGCAGTAGAACAATTACATAGGTCAACCTTGTGATGAAGTGCTGTACATTGGAAATAGTAGAGGAGCAAAGACCAAAGTTTATCTTGTTCGCCTTGTACCTGTCTGGTTGTTGCATGACACAATCATGCTGGAGCTCGAGATTAATTGCAACAATTAATCTCTAACAATTAGTCCACAACAAATCCAGATTGACGAGAAATCCCAGTGTTGGACAGCCAAAGTGTTATGTTCGGAAAAGAAATCAATTGAAGTCTGCATTTCAGTGAATCAGTACTAACTGCTTCCATTGTCTCCTTACAGGGTTTCTTCATTAGTTGACCACTCATTCAGTACAAGATTGATTGTGGAGGTAAATCCAGCCCTCCTATGCCCCTCCATCTATCCCAATCACAACCCAACCTCTATTGCACACCCAGTTCTACTGTTCTGGAGTCACAACCATTGGGAATCCTAGTTGCATGAGACTTCCACTTCAATGACACTGGTCACATGCTCCTGTTAAATGATAGCAAAGCACTGGTCAGGAAAGCTGTTTCAATATTGCATGGGTTTAGCAGAGTAACTAAAATAACCTCAAAACAAACTTCTAGTTTTCATTAGCAAGGATGATTGGGTTAAAGGGACATGGAAAATTCAGTACGTTTAACGTAAAGTTCACGGCAGGTTATGCCCCATGAACCAGACGGCAATCACTCCTTAAATACAACAGAAAAAGCAGCGTAGCTCAGAAAAATAGCGACCTCAATGTTAGGTGTACCAATGTGCTGGAGTTTCCAAAACATAAAAAATAATTTCCTTGATACCAACAGCAATCCAGAAGAAATAAAAATGAGCAACACCAGCCTTGGCTACGTGGCACCTTTCTTATCTCTGAACTTCAAGATTGTTGGCTCAAGTCTTTCCCCAGAACAAACACAAAAGGCAATTATGGGCATTGAGTAAACCTTAGCAAGATCCTATTTAAAGTACTTTGTTCATTGTAGGATTGTCAGGTGGACATAAAAGATCTCTTAACCCTACTTTGAAGAAGAGCAGAATTATCTTTCGTATCTTCAACAATATTTATCGTCCAGCCAACAGATTATCTGATCATTATCATGTTTCTGTTTGTGGGATCTTACTGTGCACCTGATTGACTGCCACATTTCCTACATTACAACAGTGACTCCACAATCACAGAACCTCGCTGGCTGTAAAGCACATTCGTGGTTGTGAAATATGCCGTTTACCTGCAACACTTTCTTTGTGTCCGTTGCTATAGGAGGGAATATTGAGGCTTTACGGAAGGTAAAATGCAAATTTCTCGGCAGATATTTTGAGATAGCTAGTGATAATAACTTTTTATTATCCATACTGTGAAATGTCAATCGCTGTCAAGGCCAGCGTTCATTGCCTTTGGGAAGGTGCGAAGAGCTGTCTTGTAGAAACACCAAGTAGATTTGGTGTGTGTGCACCCACACGGCTGTTAGCAAAGGGAGTTGTGGGATTTCAATCCGGCAACAGTGAAGACAATGATGTATCTCCAAGTCAGGACGGTGCGCAACTTTGAAGGATACTTGCAGTTGGTGGTGTTCCTGCTATAGGCATTATATTCACACCAAAAACACGAGCATGTGTTCTTGGCACAACTGCAGGACTGAAGGAGTGCTGCACTGTCGGAAGTGTCGTCTTTTAGATGAGACATGAAACAGCAGTCCCCATCTCCACTCACATCTGGCCATGAAAAGTGTCACTGCATGAATTCAAAGAAGAGCACATCAGTTCTCCTCTGCCATCCTGATCAATATCTGTTGTTCAGTGAACACCACAAAAAACAATTACCTGGTCATTATCAAATTGCTAATTGTGGGAGCTTGTGTCTAAATTGGCTGCTGCATTTCCTTAATTACAACAGTGAGTCCAGAGTCCATTTCAGAAATGACTTCATTGGCTGAATTGTGTTTGGGTCATCTCCAGTAATGAAGTCCCTGCCATCTGCAATGTTGATTCAATGCCGAATGGACCTCCATTGTTTTAACTGTGCCCTTGACTCCCATTCTCAGTAAAGGACCCTTTCCAGTACAGATCCCAGCAGCTCCTTTAGCCTCTAGAGCTGAAGACTCACCATGTGCTTGTACTGATCAGCAATGGAGTTAGCCCAGATTCTATGATTGCGGGAAGAGGGGGAAAGTCTTGAGAGTCTGGCTCAGGGCTTGACTCAAGTCCCAGGGAAGAAGGAGGAGGTGGTTTGGGCACCACAGCATCTCCTAATCCAATTGCAGATGACCAAAGGAGGTAGCTTCCCACCAGGAACAAAGCTCGCTGCCATCAGGGCAATATATCTGCATCAAAGCTGCTCCCGCTGAGACAGCAATAGAGAAAGAGGGAAAAGAAAAATGCCATATCACCTGAATCAAAAATAATTGGAGAGAGCATTGGAAAATAATCAAGATTGACACAAACAAACACTCTTGCGATTCAACAGCCATCAGACATTTAATATAAAGGAACATTTCGCTGATATAAAGCAAAATGAGATGAAATAAAACAATGACCACATCAAAAAAAATACATTTCTTATCTTGCTGTTGTATCACAAATTTAATTTATAACTGAGGTGAGCAATCTTTTATTAACACGCATTTATCTTCTTTGCTGGAAAGCTCATTGCTCCTCCATTCAACTCTCCCCTCGAACTTTTCGCAAAGCTGTTGACTCCTCCAGACCCCATTGTAACGCGATGTTTAGTGTGGAGTTAAAATCATCGCTGGAAATCAGTGTTGTGTTTACAAACAGTGTTTGTGAAAAAGATGTGGTTTTCTTGTGTGTCATAATTTCGGATGGTGTTAGTGAGTAATTATACCAGCATCAAAAATTTAATTCAGCCTTACTGAAAAAAGGCAAGACAAGAGAGGGCTTATCATCCTCTCACAAGTACAGACGCACTTCAGTTAAACATTTCAGTAACATGTTGCATATGGATTGTGCTGTCAGGAATAAACAGCAACGTTGGCATATCACAAGTGATTAGAATCTTTTTGCACATGAGTTCCTCAGCGCACCTCACTCATCTGTACCACAAAGTCCTGCAGGTTCAGAATCTCACTGATCCATGGAACTATCTGCAGCAAGGCATTAAGCTAAAAGGAAGCACATCATATTCCAGTGGTGGAACTGAATCATGCTGCACAGACTGACTTTGTACAGGGTAGAATCACACACCTAAACGGCATATTTCACAACCACTAATGTGCTTTACATCCAGCGAGGTTCTGTGCTTGTGGAGTCACTGTTGTCATGTCGGAAATGTGGCAGTCAATCAGGTGCACAGTAAGATCCCACAAACAGAAACGTGATAATGACCAGATAATCTGTTGGCTGGAGGATAAATATTGTTGAAGATATGAAAGATAATTCTGCTCTTCTTCAAAGTAGGGTGTCATTGGGATCTCATCCCTTGATTGGGGTTGTTAACTTGGACCAATCAGGGAGCCCCAGCTGCCAGAAATACACAGGAGATTCAGACAGTCTCCTTATTCTGGCGACTGGCTCTGAGCTAGCTGGTCAGACTCTATGTACTGTGCTTGTGTAATTAAAAGGTGATGTGGTGACAGGAAACATATCTCTGTGCAATTATTTCAGTGGAGCTGAAGGGGTGTCTTTTATTCATTCGTTCATGGAATGTGGGTTTCTCTCACTGGGCCAGCATTTCATGCCCATCCCTGATGCCCTGGCGAAGGTAATGGTGAGCTGCCTTCTTAAACTGCATCCCTTGTGACCACTAAGATAGGGAGCGTCAAATTATAGATAAAGTGTATGTTTTAAAATTGAGGTGTTGTTTTTGTCTCTGGTAGTCAAAGTAGCTGAGTCAACACAAAATAGATAGAATAAATAATTTGTTATAATCAAACACAGAACTGTGCATACTGGAATTCTGAAACAAAAACAGAAATTGCTGGAGAAACTCTGGTGGCATCTGTGGAGCGAAAGCTGAGAATGTTTTGAGTCTAGTGATCCATCTTTGGAACTGATAGTAGCCAGGAAAAGGTAGTGTTTATTGCTGAAGATGGGTTGGGGGAGTGGAGGGTGGTGTGGTGGTTGGAGCAGTGTTGAGTGGATCGGCACACTGAACCTAGAGAGAGAAAATGAGAGTCAGGGGTGATAGCATTCTCAGAAGAAAGAAAAGCTGATAATGGGACCATGAGGCGGTGAAAATGGAAAGCAGCCCATGTGATGACAGGGCCTGGGATGTGTGGATGGATCAAGGACATAAGATCATATTTAGGTTCTAGAATCAGTGAACTCGATATTGAGTCCTGAATGCTCCAGGGTCCCCAAGTGGAAAATGAGATGATGTTCTTCCAGCTTGCTCTGGGCTTTGCTGGAGCACTGCAGCAAAGCTGAGACAGAAATTTTGGCCAGGGAACAACATAATGGTGTGTTGAAGTGGCAGGCAACTGGAAGCTCGGTCATTTCCACAAACAGAAAACATCCTCACAAAGAGGAATTACACTGTTAACTTAGTTCTTTTTTTAATAATCAAGTTTACTCTGGCAGTCAAAACAGACAAGATCCTAAAGAACAATTTTTAAAACTCCTCCTACAAAATAAAGAGGAAAGCTTGAATCTAGACAAAATCCTAGTTGCTGTTTGGCCTCCCAGTGCTAACCGGCAGAGAGGGCGCTCCTGGTTGATTCGCCGTGAAGATTGAAAGTGGAGCCTCTTGCTGTCCCTGGATAGTTGCCAGCCAGGTTCAGAATCAGTCCCATGTGGTGCTGTTGCTGCTGCCCGGGGTTTAAAGGTAATTTGGGGTCCGTTTTGCTTTTTGTGTTGAATGTGAATACTTTCGGATCTGTTTGGGACTCCTTTAACTGTGGGTGTCACTCTCTCGGGTTAATAACGGTGGGGGTGGTGGGTGAATTAAAATCACCTTTTTATCAGGCCATTGCTGAAAACTCTGCTCATTGCATCTCCAGCAGACCCCCTTCACCATGCTGTGCCATAGTCTTTGCTCCCCAGGGTTTCCTTTACCGGGTTGCTGGCCTGTGCGAAAGAATCCTGGAACTGTAACAATCTGAATTGTTACTGTTGCCACATTCTGAAACAGTAACAATTTCAATCGCCTCGCTTCTCTGTTGCTGCACTGAGTTTATTTACCCTCCTTACTTTTCATCGGGTTCCAGAGACCCAAGTAATGCTCTGTGGAGCAAATATAGAAACTGCTGGAGAAACTCAGCAGGCCTGGCAACATTTGTGGAGAGAAAGCAGCGTTAATGTATCAAGACCAGTTCTTCAGAACTGGACTCCAAACGTAAACTGTGCTTTCTCTCCACAGATGTTGCCAGACCTGCTGAGTTTCTCCTGCAATTTCTGTTTTGTTTCAGATTTGCAAAATCTATCTGTGGTTTTTCGTTTTATTTTAATGCTCTGTGGGTCTGGATTCAAATCAGACTGCGGACGTTTTATTTTTGAGGCATTCAAACAGGGCATTGGGTGATGATGAGCAGGAAAGTTGACGTTTTGGGTCAGGACCTTCAGAAAATTTTCCTGCTCCTCTGATGCTGCCTGGCCTGCTGTGTTCCTTCAGCTCCACGCTGTGTTCCTTCAGCTCCACGCTGTGTTCCTTCAGCTCCACGCTGTGTTATCTCTGACTCCAGCATCTGCAGTACACACACTCTCTCATTGGGTGGTGATGTGCAGTGATATGGGGGAAAAGGAGATTAGCACTCTGCCATAGAGCAGGGGTAGGCAATAGAGCAAGCATGATGGGCTGAATGGCTTCTTTCTGCACTGTAATAATTTTGTGATTCTGGGGCTCGGAATACCTAAGGGGACACAACTGCTGGTGCCCTGCCTTTGCTCATCCTGATGTGGGCAGGATATATTAGTCACTTCTTTGCTAGGTGGGAAGACCTGGAATTCCCCCTCACACAGTGCTGTAGGTGTAGGCTCACTACCTGGGCTGCAGAAGTACAAGAAGGAAGTTCAGCACCACCTTCCAATGGGTGATTACAGAAGGTCAGAAGAATTTTGGTGATGGGTCACAGCTCATAATGAATCAACAAAAAGTAAAGCATAGCTGGGTCCATCTGATCAGAATGTATCAGCTGCTCACTTGATAAGTGTTTGGGACATTGGAGAACTAAATCACTTGGCTTAAGAAGAAGCTTGCATTTTTATAGCACAGCCTTGGAATGGTCAAGAGCACTTATTTAATGATGAACTTCTGGTGGTAATATTGCTGAGATTAAGAGTCATGTTGCCAAAGTTTTTTGTTTAGCACTCATCAGGATAAATGCAAGAATGCAAAATTTCAAACAATTGCAATGACTTATGCACAGGAGAAAAGGGAGCTGATTAGTTAGCAAGTTGCTTCTGATTAGCTGATTCATTACCATGGAGAAAGCAATGGCAAACTTTAAGCCGATCTCCCAGGTAATTCCAAAAAAGAACAAGTCTTGAACATATTCCTTTTGTTTGCAGAGTGGGTCACTATGTATAAATACAAGTTGCTTCTAGCAGGTGCAAATTCACCACGTTAAAAGCTCCACTGGTTTTAAATGGTTTATACTGGTCGTTAGTGTAGCTATTAGCATGCTTATGATTGTTCTGTACCTGCTGCTTGAATGTGGGATCATGTCAGTGTTTCTTGCAAATGTTCTGCCTGTTATGAACAGCTGAAGAACATGTTCTTTGATTAAATTAGCCAATTGCTGCTGTAAAATAGGAAGCATAGCAAACCATCTGTGCAAAGATGTGCAGGTTAGGTGGATTAGCCATGGGAAATGCAGGGATGGGATAGGGGGATGGGTCTGGGTGGGATGCTGTTCAGAGGGTTGGTGTAGACTTGATGGGCGAATGGCCTGCTCTCCCACAGTAGGGATTCTATGAATCTGTGCATAGCACAATCCCTCAAACAGTATTGAATGACCAAAAGATGTTGGCTGAGGAATAAATATTGACCGGGACATTGGATAGCTCTCCCCTGTCAATTTTTGAATGCCATGGGATCCTTTATGGGAGAGAGCTGACAGGGGCTTGGTTTAATGTCTTCTCTGAAATTCAGTACCTTTGACAATGCTGTGCTCACGTCTGTCAGTAGTTCTCATTACTTTTGTCAGTACTGCACTGGGAATGTTAGCCTGGATTTTGTGCTCCCATCGCTGGAGCAGGACTTCAATGCAGAACCTTTTGACAGATGAGTGCTGTGCAACATTTGTGGGTGGTGTGCAGTTCTGTGACTTAGCCCCTTTCCATTTAATTGTGCTGTAGTTTATGTTCTTTGCTTTGATTCTTCATTTTTAAATTTCTGATTTTCTCCTTGGGTTCAGTGTTTCTGCACGCCATATGACTGGATCACGTGACCCAGAAACATACAATATGTCATTATTCACTTGAAATGCAGGAAATGACTAACGGGGTATGCCTGCACATAACTCCATGAACTGGACTGCACCCTACGCTGCCACATTAAGGTATTTACTTCAGTAAATACTCACTGCAACGTGGGCTGCCAAAATAAGGCATAACAAATGGGAACAGGAGTAGTCCCTCTGGTCCCAGAGGCTGTATCAACATTCTATAAGATCATGTCTGATACAACATTTCTCACGTCCATTTTGTTGCCCTTTCCCTGTACCCTCGATTCCCTGAGACTCTTGTTAATCAGACATCCTGATTCCTGAAAGCTTCTTGACTGCAAATAGGATTCAAATAAAGACCACTTGTCTGTGTGGATGTAGCCTCGCCAACTTGTAGGAAGCTCTACGCTGCTCCGAACAAAGCACTTTGCTGGATTGATGTTTGTTTGGGCACTAGATTTAATGTCTGCCCAACTCTGTCATTTGTCAGAAAGACCTCCTGCTGTGTAGTAGCAATTTATGATTTAACAAACCTTTCAACATTAGATGATAAGTAACTTTCTGGGGATTTCCAGCAGTGTGCTTGTGCTGGCTCTTGGAGAGAGTTATCCATCAGCTCCATGATTAAAAATAACATTCCCTTCATGACCATTACTACTGCTGCTGCCAGAAGTTCTATTGTCACGGTATGTAGTACTCGTCCATCTCGCACCTCCCCTTGCTGTGTGCTGTCTGCAACCACTTTGTGACATCTATCATCCAGCTTGATGCCTCCATGTGCTGCCCTCTGCTTTGTGTTCCCAAAGAGCTCTCTGTAATGTTTCAACTCTGATCAAGTGGCCAAAATAAGGCATAACAAATAGGACCAGGAGTAGTCTGTTTGGCCCCAGAGCCTGCACTTCCATTCAATAAGATCATGGCTGATTCAACATTCCTCACGTCCACTTTGCTGCCCTATCCCTATACCCTCAATTCCCTGATTGATCAAGAATCTATCTCTGCCCTAAATATGTGCATACAATCTGCCCTCCCTAGGTCTCTGAGGTAAGGAGTTCTAAAGGCACTCAACCCTCTAAGAGAAGAAATTCCTCCTCATCTCAGTTTTAAATTGGCGTCCCTTTATTCTGAGACTGTACCCTTGGGTCTTACACACTCCCATGAGGGGAAACACCCTGTCAACCCCGACCCTGTCAACCCCTTTAAGAATCCTGTATGTTTCAAGGAAATCACCCCACATTCTTATAAACTCCTGTGAGTAGACTGCCACCCTGTTTAGCCTTTGCCCATACAATCCCTCCATACCAGGGATCATCTTAGTGAACTTTCTCTAAACTGCTTCAACTGAAACAACATCTTTCCTTAAGTAAGGGGGAGCAAAACTGCACACAGTACTCCAGATGTGGTCTCACCAGCACCTTGTACAGTTGCAGTAAAACTTCGCTACTCACACACTCCAACCCCCTTGAAATAAGGGCCAAAATTCCATTAGCCTTCCTGATTACCTGCTGCACCCTATGTGCTAGCTTTCTATGTTTCCTGCACAAGTACCACCAAATTCCTTTGTATTGCAGCTTTCTGTGTTTTCTTTAATTTTAATTTGACTTTCTTTCATGCAGACCATTCTGTTTTTGTCTCTGTGAGCTGATTTGCTGATGTATCCGCTCTGCAAAGTGATTACAAATGCTGCAGTTTTCACAAGCCTTGATGTTTGATTGGCTTCTCTCACCATTTTTGTTTTCCAGCTCTTGTTTAGCGTCCAGCAATGAAGGAGGGTAGCCAGCGGTTGCTGGTACAGTTCAAAGATGAGGGCGGGGAGATTCTGGGGGCACCTTTAGATGTTCCAGTTGACATAACCCCCGACAAGTTACAGCTTGTGTGCAATGTTCTGTTGCCTAAGGTAAAATCATCTCACGTTTTAGACAGTCATATGTGGAATACCATGGCGCTTACTGTGTCTCTCGCTCAACTTCTCACTCGCGTTCATGACTGTGTTTTCAGCTTTGTCTGTTAAATGCACAGGAGCTGGGTCTTTAATTATGTGGAGGTGGTGGGCATTAATTGGGAATTCACCCATTCTCCGACATACAGGAGCAAGGTCTAAGTCATACCAATCTGAAGATATCTGAGCGTGTCTCACTTCTGAAGCAAACTCAGGGGGCCTCCTCAGTACTTGGACAGTGAGGGTCTTATGGTGCAGTGTTAATATCCCCACTTCTCGGCCAGGAGGCCAAGTCCCTCCTACCCCGAGGTGTGTCATTATACATCTGAACAGATCGATTTAAAAGATATATAGGGGCTGACTGACATTGCAGTTATTGGGTTTTTGGAATGGTTCAAGAAGGCAGGTCAAGTAGACTTCTTAATGGGATAGATTTTCTTAAAAAAAGATGAAAGGCTATTTCATGAGCTCGTCTTTCTCTGTGATGTCTACCCTTGAAGAATTTTGATGGAAGTGGAGACTGTCATGAGCAGTGAGAAACTTCCCCTTGTCAGTGTTGGGTGTGATCGGGAAAAGGCTACAAATCCTCAGATGCAGGATCAATCGGTTCCTGAACTCATCATGAACTTCTCCATCAGAACTATTATTTTGAGTTGATGCATTGATGACGATACGTATTCAGGGTGAGATTTGCTTGTTATTTTAATTGCATTTGGATAGATTCAATGCATATTTTAATTAAAGTTAGATTTCTGCAATGGATTTTTTTCTTTTGTTGTTATTAACTTTTTCATAGAATCCCTACAGTGTGGAAGCAGGCCATTCAGCCCATCGAGTTGCACCAAACTTCCAAAGAGCATCCCACCCAGACCCCCCAACCCCTTACCCTGTCCCTGTAATCCTGCATTTCCCATGGCTAATCCACCAAACCGGCGCATCCCTGGATACTATGGGCAATTTCTCACAGCCAATTTGCCTAAATTGTACATCTTTGGACTGTGGGAGGAAACCAGAGCACCTGGAGGAAACCCATGCAGACACAGGGAGAATCTGCACAGACGGTCGCCCGAGGCTGGATTGAACAGGGGTCCCTGACGCTGAGACACAGCAGTGTTAATCACTGAGGCACCATGCTGCCCAATGCTTATCTGTGAAATTTTTTTCAATGAACAAGTAGCATACACAAACGAAATTTTGATAGAGTTTTCAGTATGGGCAATGAATTGAGATATTCTCTCAATGCTGCATTAGAGTGTCACGCTAGATTTTTGTGCTGAAGTCCCTGGGAGGGTTTTGAACTTATGACCTCCAACTCGGAGTGCTACCCACTGAGTTCCACCTGACACATTTATGTCAGTCTGATGGGACGAGGGATTGCGGCTGTGAAGAACTGCGCAGACGCGATCGGGGCTTTACCGTCGTTGGGGGATGCGCTGATAGGAAGCGGGAAATTTGTGAGGAATGGAAAACAGGTCTGCAAGCTGAGCTCCTAATCGTGGGCAAAAAGGGGAGGAAAATTGCTGTCTTTAAGCATCTTTGTTACATGAGTATTTGGACGTTGTACCAGTCAGGATTGATGACCAGTGGTTCATTCTTTTAATCTGGTTGACAGGATGCTGGCTTTGCTAGCTGGGCCTGCATTTGTTGCGCCTCGAGAAGCTGGTGGTGAGCTGCCGCCTTGAACCGCTGCAGTCTGTGTGATGTAGGGACACCCACAGTGCTTTCAGGGAGAGAATTCCAGGATTTTGACCCTGCAATGCTGAAGGAGTGGAGATATATTTCCAGGTCAGGCTGGTGAGAGGCTTGGGGAATTTGCAGAGGGCGGTGTACATCTGTATCTGCTGTCCTTGTCAGTCTGGGTAGCAAAGGTTGTGGGTATGAAAGTACTTTGCTGTCGGTCATTGTTCATTTGGGGTAAAAATCATCGGGTAGCAGGTGGCCAATGGGGCAAATAAACGAAACGGCATTTTCTGATGATTTCAGGATGATCCCCCGCCTTTGGCCTTCTTCGTGCACGAGACGGAGATTGTCACCTCGCTGGAGAAAACGCTGCAAGAGCAAAACGTGGAAACGGAAAATGTTATCGACATTATTTATCAACCGCAGGCAGTGTTTCGAGTTCGGGCTGTGACACGTTGTAGCAGCTCACTGGAAGGACACACTGAAGCGGTCATTTCTGTGGCCTTCAGTCCAACTGGGAGGCAAGTCTCTCGAAGAGAAAAATGATTTAGATCTGCTCCTTTTACATTAGCTGTGGTCCATTTGGTAGCACCCTGATTTCTCAGTCACACAGTTGCTGGTTCCATTCCCGTTCCAGGCCTTGAGCTGAGAAACCAAGGCTGACACTCCAGTACAGTGCTGTGGAAATGCTACACTGTTAGGAATGCAGTCTGGTAAATCATAGAAGTTTTATGCGCGGAGAAAGGAAATTTAGCCCTTCATACTTACACTGGCTCATTAAACAAGCATCAATACCTCGTGCCAACCTCCTGCTTTTTCCTCATACTCTTGCACATTATTTTTATCCAAACAAATGAGACTTTTTTCCGCTGGAGCACAGGAGGTTGAGGGGTGACTTTATAGAAGTTTATAAAATCATGAAGGATATAGATAAGGTAAAATAAGGTCCCCCCTCAGCCTGCTACGCTCCAGTGAAAAAAGTGCCAGCCTTTTTGGTCTATTTTTATACCTCGCACCCTCCATTCCTGGCAACATCCTGTGAAATCTTTCCTGAACCATCTACACTTCATAGGCACTTCATTGTCTGTAAACAGTCTAAGTCCCCCAAGGTTATGAAAGCTATTATAGCACTCCTTCCCTTTCCTAAGTAAACAAACAGAACGGTTGTGTAGTAATACATAATGCTTTCCTACATTCTCAAAGTGTCTAAGTTTTCACATAGTAAATGTTTTTTTGAGCAAGGGAACTGAGACCTTCGGGCAGTCATTCGAACTTACGATCAGGTCCGTGTCGAAACTCGGGAAGTAATTCTTCAGATGGCTGTAAAGATGAATCTCTGGGAGGGTGGGATTTTCTTACGTGAAAAGATTGTGGAACCTGGGCCTACATTCTAGAGAGCTTTAAGGAATGAGAAGCAATCTCACTGAAATTTACAGGGTGTGACACAGTGGATGTAAGAAAGATGTTCCCCGACTGGTGAGTCCAGAATTGGGGAACTTCGTCTCAGGAGGAGGAATTTCCTCATGCAGAGGGTGATGAATCTCTGGAATCCTCTATCCCAGAGGGCTATGGAAGCTTAGTCACTGACTTTGAGACAGAAATCAATAGTCACTAATGACGTTAAGGGATATGGAGATAGTGGTCAGACGTAGGGTAGAGATAGATGATCTGTTTGAATGGTGAAGCAGAATTTGATGGGTTGAATGGTCTACTGCACTTCTGTTATTATCTATGTAGTACCGTTAATGGTTGGTGCAGTTGATTATACTTGGTGCGAATTGCGTATGGTGTGCAGTATTGACACATTGTCTCTGATGTTTAAAGGTACCTAGCAAGTGGATCAGGAGACACTACTGTGCGGTTCTGGGATCTATCAACTGAAACCCCTCAGTTCACATCTAAAGGCAAGTTCACTTTGAGCAATATTGTCTTTCCGACACAAGACACAATGACCCCAATCTTTTTTAATTTCTGGTTTGAGATCCTGATGCATGCAGCTTTTACTGGGAAGGTGACTGGCCTCCCCTCCAGCCTGTACATCACAACATTTTTAAGCAATAGTGTGAAGTGAGACCAGAGGACATTGATTTAATTTATTAGCTTATACCTTGGAGTTTGGTTAAGTTGGTAACATTTAGAGTCATAGTCGTACAGCATGGAAACAGACACTTTGGTCCAACTGATCTATGCCAACCAGACATCCCAAACTGACCTTGTTCCATTTGCCAGCATTTGGCCCATATCCCTCTAAATCTTTCTTGTTCATAAAGCCATCCAGATGCCTTTTAAAATGTTGTAATTGTACCAACCATCACAACTTCCTCTGGTAGCTTGTTCCATACATACACACACCACCCTCTGTGTGAAAAAGCTACCCCTCAGGTCCCTTTTACATCTTTTCCGCTCTCACCTTAAACCTATGACCTCTAGTTTTGGACTCCCCCCAACTCTGGGGAAAGATGTTGTCTATATACCCTATCCATGCCCCTCTTGATTTTATAAACCTCTATTAGGTCACCTCTCAATTTCTAACGCTCCAGGGCAAAAAAAAGCCTCAGCCTATTCAGCCTCTTCCTATAACTCAAGCCCTCCAGTCCCAGCAACATCCTTGTAAATCTTTCCTGCAGCCTCTCGGATTTAATAATATCCTTTCTATAGACGGGCGACTAGAATTGTACACAGCATTCCAAAAGTGGCTCACCAATGTCCTGTACAGCTGCAATATGATTTCCCAACTCATATACTCAATGCACTGAGTAATGACGGCAAGTGTGCAAAATGCCTTCTTCACTATCCTATCTACCTGTGACTCCACTTGCATGAAACTATGGACCTGCACTCTTTGTTGGGCAACACTCCCTAGGGCCCTACCATTAACTGAATAAGTTTCCATTACCGAGATGTAACACCTCACGTTTTTCTAAATTAAATTCCGTCTGCCACTCATTGGCCCGTTTGATTAAGGTCCCGTTGTACTCTGGGATAATCTTTCTCCTGAAATGAAAAAGAGGATTCAAGTGAACAATCTCTTTCCTTTTTCACATTCACAGAAGTGTCATGACACAGAAAGAGGCCATTTGGCCCATTGTGCCTGCACGGCCTTGTTAATTGAGTGTCATTACCTCGTGCCAAGCTGCTGCTTTTTCCCGATAACCTTGCCCGCAATTCCTATCCAACAAATCCCTTCTTGAATGCCTCAGTTGAACCTGCCTCCACCGGGTTTCCAGACAGTGCATTCCACATCCTAACTACTCGCTGAGTGAAAAAGTTTTTCCTCAATTCGCCCTTGCTTCTTATCCACATCACTTTAAATCTATGCCCTCTTCTTCTCCTCCCGAGTATGAGTGGAAATAGTTTCTCCCTGGCTATTCTATCCAGGCCACTCATGATTTTGCAAACCTCCATCAGATCTCCTCTCGAAGGAAAACAGTCCCAATTCCTTCATTTCAAAGTTGAACTGAAGTTCCTTCTCTCTGGGACTATTATTACAAACAGCTTCCGCACTCTCTCCAGTGCATTCACGCCCTTCGTATGATGTGGTGTTTCAAATGCAGCAGGTGGCGCTCTTTCTCCAGTTGGGACTGAAGCCGTGTACATTCTTGGGCATTAGAGTAGAGGGAGCTTAACTCTACGTCAAACTCCCGTTCCAATCTCAACCTGCGAGCAATGTTCCCTCTAAGCTGCACAGCTGTGTGCGGATGCAGTCACTCCAAAGTTCTGCGCAATGCGATCAGCGTTGGCATTTCCATAGCAGTATTGACTTCTGGTTCTGGAAGTGGTAGTCATACTGGGGCTTGGAGGCTCGTGTAGTTGATAGAAAAATTGGAGGAATCACTGTTTGCAAGTGCATGATGCAGAGAAATTACAGAGAGGGTTCCATCTCCCAGCACTGCCTTCCCTGCGATTAGTGTGATATTTACCAAAAAGACAATGTTGGGTAGTTTCAACATTGTAGGTGATATTTTAGCTCATGCTGTGTCAAGTGTGGCTCAGCACTATTACTCTGAAGCAGAAGGACTGACCTGCTCCTGAGGCTGTGGCCCATTGTAATCCAGGCAGGGCTTGAAGGCGTGCCACGTTGTCAGTACCGTGTTTCAGGTGAGATGCTAAATCAAGGTCCTGTCTGCGATCCCTGATGGATCCCAGGGCATTATACCGAGGAGGATGTAGGGGAGTTACTGACGGTGGTCTGGTCAATCAACAACTCGATCGACAACCTGCAAAATTAAAAGTGCAGGTGATCTGGTCATTTGCACAGTTCTGTTTGTGGGAGCTCGCTGTGCTTTAAATTAGCTGTTGCATTTCCTATGTTGCAACAGTTGGCAACATGGAAAAACAGTTGTTTGTTGTCCTAAAGCACTTTGAGACATGCTGAGATCATGGAATGAGCTTTATAAATACCAGTTCTTCTTGATGTTCAGTGCTGCAACTCTGTTCTGCTAACAAGCGTGAAAAGACCTAATAACATTGGTTTGAGCTCTTTTGAAGATATAACTTATGTGTATCTAATGCTGTTGCTTTATAATGGAGACATCAACCTATTTAAAATTGTGGACAACGCTAATCTTGTTCAGGCACCACTTTGAATAGTCTAATTTCAAGGTTGTAATGGTTCCGCTCTGGGCAATTGCAATTTAAACTTGCTCTTAACTCACTCCATTTCTGTGCCCTGTCTTTGATTATCTGTCTGTCTTTAATTCAGTGGAATTTTTATGGCAGTGAGCGAAATGAGATTGAGTCTTTGCAATTATTAACAAACCAAGGAAACTCCGACAAATTACAGTGGATGAGTTAATTTTCCATTTGAGCAATGTGTCTTTCATTAATAGTTCAAAGTCAGCAAAATGGTCAGGAGCTAATGTGCCTGAAAAGAGTTTCATTTCTTTGCCCTTAGGTCACAAGCACTGGGTATTGAGCATCGCCTGGTCTCCTGATGGAAAAAAGCTGGCTTCTGGGTGCAAAAATAGTCAGGTATTTAATCTTCTAAAAAAGAGAAAATTCCTCTCCAGGGTTTGTCTGCATTTATCAAAACTGTCAATCAATGTTAATCTTTTTTTCTGGTTATTAATTATTTTTTCACACTTAAACTTTCCATTGATTCTCTCGGCAACTTGCCCTATTTAAGAGGGAGTTGGAGCTGTTTAAAAAGCGGGTATCTCAAAATATTGCCATTGGATTTCACATTTCCCTTGAACATGCAGCTTGTCTCAGTAAAACAACAGGATTCGCTGAGTGTGGCCTGAATAAGCAAGCTGGAATCTGGGGGAAAGATTTTTGGTGGGTCATTTCAGGAGAATCAGCAAGTCGTGTGTATCTCTGGGTGAAGTTATATGTTGCCTGTTTAATTTCAGATATTCTTGTGGGATCCGAGCACAGGCAAGCAAATCGGAAAGGTTCTGACGGGGCACTCAAAGTGGATTACATACCTTTGCTGGGAACCACTGCACATGTGAGTCAATAATTCATAAAAGAACGGTACAGCCAGTGACAGAGCAGTTGTCCTGTTGACAACGGTTTTAACTTTAGTGGCCAACAACTCAAGGATCTACCGATGGATAGTGATCAGCACTGTAGCTCGTGATTTGAAAGACATCTCCTCTAACAGTGCAGCACTCCCTCAGAACTGGACGGGACTATCAGCATGGAGTTTACTGCTTGAAGACCTTGAGTCCACAATTTTTTGGTACAGATGAGAGCAAAGCTCACTACAGTGAGTGACCACTTCCGAGCAGCAGAGATTTTGGGCCGATTTCTTCCCTTCCACTTGCTGTATTGAATGAGTGATAATGCATTATTTAAAAGCAGTGGAAAGTGGGTCATAGCTAATAGATGATACATGAGAATTGTTTCAGAGATAGTAGGAACTGCAGATGCTGGAGAATCTGAGATAACAAGGTGTAGAGCTGGATGAACACAGCAGGCCAAGCAGCATCAGAGGAGCAGGAAGGCTGACGTTTCGGGCCTAGACCTTTCTTCAGAAATCATTGTTTGAGAATTGTTTATGGTTTACATACCAGTGGCTCACTGACCAGTGTTTATGTTATTAGAGGACCCACACTTCTTATACTCAACACAACATACTACGTTATTGTCTTACTCCATACGTTTATACAGTGATATAACTTATATAAGACACAAGTTCAGTCTGAGCCAGAGCATTGTGTCACCTCTGAACGTCACACATCTTTGGAAGAATGTGAAAGCATTGGAGAGAATGCTGGAAAGATTTCACAAGAATGGTTCCAGGGGTGAGGAATTCTTGTTGTGAAGATTGATTGAAAATGCTCAAGCTGTTTTCCTTGGGGGAAGTGGCGATCTGATAGACGCTTTCACAATCGTGGCCAGAAAGTGGGGAGAAAATGTTTCCACTCATGAAAGGTTTGACAGCAAGATGTCACAGATTCAAAGTAATTCATTAAAAGAAGCAAAGGGCACATGAGGAAAAACTTATTAGGATCGGTCTGGGTCCACAGCTTTTTGTCATTTATATGAATGATTTGGGTGTGAATGTAGGAGGTACGGTTAGTAAGTTTACAGATGACACCAAAATTGGAGGTGGAGTGGACAGTGAAGAAGGTTATTTAAGACTATAATGGAACCTTGATCAACTGGGCCAATGGGCCAAGGAGTGGCAGAAGGAGTTTAATTTAGATAAATGTGAGGTGTTGCATTTTGCTAAGGCAAATCCGGGCAGGACTTGTACACTTAATGGTAGGGCCCTGGGGAATGTTGCCGAACAAAAGGGGCCTTGGAGTGCAGGTGCATAATTCCTTGAAAGTGGAGTCACAGGTAGACAGGGTAGCGAAGAAGGCATTTGATATGCTTGACTTCATTGGTCAGTGCATCGAGTATAGGAGTTGGGAGGTCATGTTGTGCCTGTACGGGACATTGGTTAAGCCACTTTTGGAATACTGTGTGCCATTCTGGTCTCCCTGCTATAGGAAAGATGTTGTTTAACTTGAAAGGGTTCAGGAAAGATTTGTAAGGATGTTGCTGGGATTGGAGGGATTGACCTATGGGGAGAGGCTGAATAGGTTGGGGCTATTTTCCCTGGAACGTCGGAGGCTGAGGGGTGACCTTAGAGGTTTATAGAATCATGAGGAGCGCAGATAGGGTGAATATTAAAGGTCTTTTTCTCAGGGTAGGGAAGTCCTAAACTAGAGGACATGGGTTTAAGTTGAGAGGGGAAAGATTTAAATGCGACCTGAGAAGCAGTGTTATCACACAGAGGATGGTGCGTGTATGGAACGAGCTGCCAGATGAAGTGGTGGAGGCTGGTACAATTACAACATTTAAAAGGCATCTGGATGGCTTTATGAATAGGAAGGGTTTAGAGGGATTTAGGCCAAATGCTGGCAAATGGGACGAGATCAATTTAGGATATGTGGACCGAAGGGTCTCTTTCCATGCTGTATAACTCCATTACTCTATAACACAGTGTGTTTAGGGTCTGGTATGCACTACCTCTGAGAGATTGGAGGCAGCATCAATAGAAAGCTTTCAAAAGGGAGTCAGACTGTTACTGGAAAAGTGAAAACATGGAGGAGGCAGGAGAATGACACAAAGTGAATTGCTCATTTGGAGGGCTGGTACAGACATAATGGGCTGAATAGCCTCCTTCTGCACTGTAACCGTTCTGTGACAATTCTTACTGTGCATTGGCCAAAATTTATTTGTACTCTAAGGACGGACAGGATTGATGTTAGGAATGGGAAAGTGGATCTGATAAAGTTGCAGCAGGGTCTGTGCTTAACTTGACTCTCTGTTTCTCTTTCACGGCAACAAGCGTTCACTTTTCTGAATTAACATCTTTTTTAAGCTAGATTTCTGCAGTTTAACAAAGTGCTGTTTTTTTATTTTGTTTGCCTGTCTGGGCAGAAATCCACAGTGTCGGTACCTGGCCAGCGCGTCTAAGGACTGCAGCATCCGCATCTGGGACACAGTGCTGGGACTCTGTGATAAGATCCTGACAGGACACACGCAGTCGGTAACCTGTGTGAAATGGGGCGGTGACGGGCTCATCTTTTCCTCCTCGCAGGACAGGACAATAAAAGTGTGGAGGGCCCTAGACGTGAGTGGGCTTCGCTTTTTAAAGCAGTGGTCTGAAAGTAGGAGGGCCAGGTGAATGTGGTCTTTGTAGTGATTGGAACAAAGGCCTGGGGGATCTCATTGTGCGAGAGTCTCGATTGGGGTTGTTAACCTGGGCCAATAAGGGCCTTGGCTGATAGATATACACAGGAGATTCAGAGGGTCTCCTCAATCTAAGGACAGGCTCTGAGCTGGCTGGTCAGAGCCCATGTACTGTGCATGTGTAAATAAAGGATGACTTAGTGATGAGATACTGGGCTCTGTGCAGTTATTTCAGTCTTGTTTGTGTTATGGAGTGGGTGTTTGTGGACAGTGGGGAGAGAGACAGAGGAAAATTTGCAGGCAGTATCTGCTAAGGCAGTCCAGCTGCTGTAGATGCACCATACAATATCCCGAGTTCAACATGAGAACCGGCTCCTGACTGGGATTCCACAACATGAGTTGGGTGTAACAATAAACAGTCTATAACAACTTGTTGAATATCTAGAAATATTATCTCTGGACTGAGAGAACAGGGATCTAGTCCCACCTGCTCCAGAGGTGTGTAGTAACAGCTTTGAACAGGTTGATGAGAAAAATAGGTTAAATAAAAAATTTAGTCAGTGAACAGTGAATTGTTCAGCTCAGTGATGAAGGAGCTGTGCACAGGAGGGCAAGAGATGAGGTTGACATATTTGCACCATCTTCAGTGATAAGAGCTGAGGGGATGATCCATCTCAGTCTTTTTTTTTTTGACAAGCCCACTTTCAGAGATGTTAAACAAAAGAAAAAGGAAATTTGGAATCATGGGCATTTAGAATACTGTTAGCATTGCTGCCTCACAGCACCAGGGGACCCAGGTTTGATTCCACCCCAAGACGACTGTCACTGAGGAGTTTGCACATTCTCCCTGTATCTGTGTGGGTTTCCTCTGGGTGCTCCGGTTTCTTCCCACAGTCCAAAGGATGTGCAGGTTATGTGGGGTTAAGGGGATAGAGTTGGGCTTGGGTCTGGATGGGATGCTCTTTGGAATGTCGGTGCAGGCTCAATAGGCCAAATGGCATCTTTCCACCCTGAAGAGATTCTGTGGCTGAAAGAGGTAATCAGTTTGTCCAGAATGTCTTTTCAGTGAAGCTTTGCTGAATTGATTAAAACAAACTGGAATCATGGGGCTCTTGTGGCTCAGTGTTAGTATCCCATCTCTGGGCTAGGATGCCTAGGGTTCAAATCCCACCTGCTCCAGCAGTGCATAATAATATCTCTGAACATGTTGATTAGAAGACATCTAAGAGAAGAATCTACTAATTAGAGGGACTGTTTTGGTGTAATGGCAATGTTCTTACCTCTGAGGAAGGAGGTCTACTGACACCTGCTCCCAAGGTGTATTAAAGCAACTCTGAACAGGTTGATTAGAAAATAAAACTTTGCTTCACTTTCTTGTTTGGGTTCATTGGTTACTATATTAGATTTCTGGCCTCTAGTTTTGGACTCACCGTAAGTGGAACCATTTTCTGTAAATCTACCCTATCAAACCCTGTCAGCACTCGTTGTCCTGTCAATTTGATTCTGATTGCTGGCTATGTTTTTTCTGTGAAAGGTGAATTTCCTTGGGTATGTTGTCATGGCAACAATTTGCACTCTTTTTAAAGTCATTGAAGACCATTCTCAAGATGTTCAATTCTGAAGCAGGGTCACTGAACCCAAAAGGCTAACTCTTTCCCTTTCCACAGACGCTGCCAGACCTGCTGAGTTTCTCCAGCAATTACTGTTTTGGTTTCAGATTTCTGCAGTTCTTTGTTTTATTCTCAATTCTTTGTTTGTGAGGCATCAGTTTCAGAGGTGGGGATCGGAGGGGTGTGTATTAAATTGGTTTGTGCACGGTAAGCGTCTATGTACATGATGTACAATCGATTGCACACTTGACATTGTGAATGTGCTCCACTGTATATTTAGGTCTTGGAAAAACAAAACAGAACAATTGCTGTAATAAATATGCAGGGGCCAGTTTGATAACTGCTTCATAAATTGTGTGTGTGATCTGTTTTCAGGGGGCTATGTGCAGAACGCTTCAGGGCCATGCACATTGGGTAAATACAATGGCACTCAGTACTGACTACATACTGCGAACCGGGTCCTTTGAACCAGCCGAAGCTACAATTGTACCGCAGGACAGGACGGATTCCCGTGGGTAATCGCGTTGCCTTTCTGTAGCCCGTCTCCTCTGCCAATATTTGTCTTTGCACTCGTATTGAAAGAGGAACTTCCCAATTCTTGTTGTCTCATTTAAGGAAGGGTGTGCAGTGTTTCACTGTTTAAATACGATATGGAGGTGCTGGCATTGTACTGGGGTGGACAAGGTCAGAAATCACACGACACCAGGTTAAGGTCCAACAGGTTTATTTGAAATCGCAAGCTCTCGGAGCCTCAGTCCTCCTTCAGGTGTTGGTGGGAGAGAAAGTATCAGACACAGAATCTGTAAGTAACCTGTGTCTGATACTTTCTCTCCCACTAACACCTGAAGAAGGACTGAGGCACCAAAAGCATGTGTTTTCAAATAAATCTGTTGGACTATAACCTGGTGTCGTGTGATTTCTGACTGTTTAAATACTGCTTTGCTTTTTCATCCTTCCTGCCAAAGTGAAAACTTCACGTTATTCCACACCATAGTCACCTGCCATATTTAACCTATCTATAAATAGTCTGAACCCGTGTTATGTCACCTTCATAAAATACTTTCCTACCTATCTTTGTGTCATCTGTACATGTTGCCACCAGGCCTGAATTTTCCTCATGTAAGTCGGATATAAATTGTAAAAAGTTGAGGGCCGAGCACAGACCCCTGTGAGACCCCATTTGTCACATCCTGCCAACCTGAAAAAGAGACCTAATTAGGTTCTCTCTTCTGTCTATGCTTGTAAGTTATTGTGTGCTCGAAATAATTTTTCATGTAAGACCTCGTCAAATGCTTTCAAGAAGTCCACTTACACTACATCTACATCTCATGCTATCCATTTTTTTACATTTTAACTAGCTTCTTCTCGTGCTGTATTGGTCTTGATTAACTTTTTAGTCATTCTCTGCTTTTCTTTATATTCTGACCAGTCATCTCACCTGCTACTCTTCTTTGCCCAATTGTATGCTTTCCCCTTAGGTTTGATGCTACCCTTAACTTATTTAGTTAATTGTGGATGGTTGGTTCTTCCTTCAGATTCTGACTGTTCTGAAATATCCCTTGAAATATCTGTCACTCCTGTATTGAACTGTCTTATAGTCTAATATACTTTGGGGCCAGCTCATCTTTGATGCCCAGTAGTTGCCCTTATTTCAGTAGGAAATGCTAGTTTTAGTGCCATTTTTCTCCTTTTCAAACTGGATGTAAAATTCAATCATATTATGAACGCTTCTACCTAGAGGTGCCTTTTATTCTGAGGTCATGAATTAACCCTGTCACATCACACAATACTAAGTCTAGTATAAGCCTGGTGTCTGGTCATTTCCAGAGTATGCTACTTGAAGATGATAGCCTGAAACTCCTCATCAAGGCTATTATTGCCAACATGAATTTTCCAGTTTTTATTATTTGTGCAGGGAGTCCCTGATTTACAAACGCTTGTACTTATGAATGTGATCCCATACATTGTTATAACTTTAAAGACCCAACATACAAACATTTCCTGTACTTATGAACAGCTGCTTTAATTGTCTTGTATTGTGTTCCAACAAATCAACTTGCAAATGGACTCTAGAATGGAACCTGGGGACTGTCTGTAGATTAAAATCACCATGTTTATTGACGTCTCTATATCACGACCCCCTTGTATCCTTCCTGCATCAGGTACTGTTTAGTTACTGCAGATCACTCCAACCAGTGATTTATTTTTTCCCCCTAGTGTTCTTCACTGTGAACCAAACAGTTTCCACATTCTGATCTCCTGAACTAATATGACACCAGTACTATCTTTGATTGGAGTGTTACCCCTCTGCTTTTACTGAACTTCCTGTTCTTCCTGAACATAATATACCCTTCAATATTCAAATCCCAATCATGACATTCTGCAGCTGTGTCTTTGCACTTGCTATCAAATCATATTTGTTCGTTTCAATGAGTGATATAAATTTATATACTTTGTTATGAATACTGCAAGCGTCTTTAGTTTTTTTTGTTATCTTTGTATTGACTGCTGGTATATTCTTCTGTTTTTCTGTCCCTGAGTGACCCTCCTTGTCCCTTCATTTTCCCCCTGAGTATTTTGCTGTCCTGCCTCCTCTCTCTCCCTTGGTTTGTTGCATTTACCTGAGCTTGATCCATCACCCACCCCCACTTGATGTTGGGGCTCACGAGAGCACCAGTCTCAGGTGGTGGGTGTCCCCAGTGGTACAGACACTTCCTTCCTCAAAACCGGTGCCAGTGCCCCACGAATTGGAACCTGCTTCTCAAACCGTCTTTGTGCCACACGTTCACTTCACTAGTTTTATTCACCCTGGTACCAATGTATTTCAGATAGTAATCCAGAGATGATTACCTTTTGAGGCTGTACTTTTTAAATTTAGCACCTAACTTCTCATAGTCCCTCAGCAGACACTTTTCCTGATGTGTTGATGCCAACGTGAACCACAACTGCTGGATCTATATAAATGCAAGTAGTTGTTGCTGTTGAACTGGCGTTGACTTGTATAAAGTGTCTTTCTCTATACTCCACCACTCTGCAACATGTTCTAAATATAGCGCAGCTTTGTCAAGTCATGCAGGGAACTGGAAACAGTACAACTGGGAAGTCTTTTTCCTGCAGGTTACCACAATTAAAATACTTTTAAATTGATTTGAGGAGCTGTGATGTTGCTCCATTTATGGCCATCAACTAGATAAAAGGCTGTTGATAAAACTGCTGGAGTCTCATTTTCTGCTAATGTTTTATTTTGCAGTGGAAGAACTGAAGCAAAAGGCACTGCAGAGATATGAACAAACCAGGGTAAGGGAGCAAAATTGGAAAAAAAAAGCAAAGCGATTGATTTCGAAGACCTGCTTCAGGTGGCGTGACATTTAATTTACACTTGATAAGTCCAGCACATGGATTTTTTATGGATAAATGAAAGAGATTGGAGGAAACCTTATGACTTAGATTAATAATTAGCTTGGGGGGGGATGGTGGTGGTGAGTGTGGGCTTAAGGAGAGTGTGTCCTGTTTAGTTGTGTTTCCCAGGGATCTGCGCTGAAGCTCAAATTGATTTTGGCTCAGAAGGAGGCCGTTCAGCCCATTGTGCCTGCACCAGTCCCGTTATCTCGTGACAGCTTCCAGCCTTTTCCCAATATCCCTGCACACGCTAACCCTCTGCTTTCACCAGATACCTCCGCGTGCAGTTTACATACACCCGGCGGAAATGCCCAGGTGCTCGTTGCCTGTGAAGAGCATGGAGGCAGAGACCATCGATAATTTCAAAAGGAAATTGGATGGGCTCTTGAGGGAAATGAACTTGTAGCGATAGAATGGTGGAATGGGGCTGACTGGATTGCTTTACGGAGAGCTGGCATGAATATGATGGGCTTGAACAGTCTCCTTCTGTGCCATTAATGACCCTAAAATGTCAATAGGTTGGATGAGGGAGCAGAGAGTTGTAAGTCTAATATTGCCAATGGCACTGCGTACAGCAGCAGATTAAGTAACATTTTGATTGGATCAACATAAAAGAGGGACACAGCCTGGGTAAGTGAGCAGGCACGTCTGTTGCTTGTGGAAAAGTACGGAGTTGTTGAGGAAAACCAATAAAACCAGGACATTTTCATAACGGTGAGAGATAAAGATCTTGGGTGGAGAGAAGAGATTTGAGTGGCCAGGAACAATGCTAAAAAATAGCTCATGGCAACAGAAAACTATCCAAATGCCCAGTGTTGTACCCTAGCGGGGGAAAATCACATGGTACAAAAGAGAGACACAAAGGCTAAAGCCATAGTGAGAATGTGTTGGAGTAGACTCTGTTATTAATGGCCCTGTTGACAAACTGGTCTTGACGTCCTCTTCTTTTCATTTCCCCCTTAAGGGTCGGGAGCAGGAGAGACTGGTTTCGGGGTCGGACGACTTCACACTTTTTCTGTGGACTCCTGCAGAGGCTAAGAAACCCTTGGCACGACTGACGGGCCACCAGGCTCTGATAAATGAAGTCTGTTTCTCCCCTGACACTCGCCTTATTGCCAGTGCATCATTCGACAAATCAGTGAAGCTGTGGGATGGCAGGACTGGCAAGTAAGATCCCTAAGATGCTGTTGTTAAACAAAGGACGTGCTTTCCCCTCGTGCATTTCACAACCTCAGATTGCCACAAAGTGTTTCAGAGCCGATGTAGCACTTTTCAAAGACGTAATGTAGGAATAGGAAGGATTTGTGAAACTAGAAAGGGTTCAGAAAAGATTTACGAGAATGTTGCCAGCATTAGAGGGTTTGAGCTAAAGAGAGAGGTTGAATAGGCTGGGGCTATTTTCCCTGGAGCGTTGGACGCTGAGGGGTGAACTTAGAGGTTTATAAGATCATGAGGGGCGTGCATTGGGTAAATAGGGCAAGGTCTTTTCCCTGGGGTGAGAGAGTCCCAAACTAGAGGGTAGAGGTTTAAACTGAGAGGGGAAAGATTTAAAAGGGATCTAAGGGGCAGCTTTTGCACGCAAAGGGGTACATGCATAGAATGAGCTGCCAGAGGAAGTGGTGGAGGCTGGTACAATTGCAACATTTAATAGGCATCTAGATGGGTATATATGAATGGGAAGGGTTTAGAGGGATATGTGCCAAATGCGGGCAAATGGGATTAGCATTATATAGGACAGCTGGTTGGCATGGACGAGTTGGACCAAAAGTTCTGTTTCTGTGCTGTTTACCTCTATAGATGCAACAGACAATTAGAGCACAGCAAGCAGCAGTGTGATTGTCACTAGATAATCTGCTTCTGTCAAGTTGATCGAGGGATGAATATTGTCGAGGACGCTGGGCACAATTTATGCTGCTCATTTTCAAAATAGACCCTGGGGTCTTGTACGTCCAGCGGAGATGTTCCAGTCATGGCCTCCGTTTAACGCTCATTCGAAAGGCAGCGCCTCCTTCAGCAGTGCACTGGAATGCCAGCCTGTCGGAGCTCGAAGCTGTGGAGCTGGGCTTAAACCCACAACGTTCTGGCTCTGAGGCCAGTGAGACCCACTGAACCTGAGCTGATATTTTATACACCATTTGGAATTGGAAATGAGAAATCCCCACCTACTTAGCAGTGCCTGCTGTGCTGGAGGTTGTTACAAGGGTGGCACACTGTGTTGCTGTGTGCTAACCTTCAGAAGTGAAATTGGGAGCAACTGGTTCACATGTGGCCAGGCTTTTCTGTTCAGCGAAGACCACATCGTGCCTCATCTCTTAGGCTGAGGGGGCAGAGCAGATCTCCAAATACTCAGATTAAAACTACCTCACCTTTACAATGTGGACTATAGTGCAGGAATAGAGAAACAAAGCTGCAATTGCCAAATATAAGACAGGAAAATGTTGGAAACATGTCACTAATTCCATGAGTATTTGCAGAACAAGATGTAACATTTCAGGTAGACGTTTGCAGGTCCTGAACCAGCGTCACTCTATCGTTGGAATCGTAGAATCCCTATGGTGTGGAAGCGGGCCATTCGGCCCACTGAGTCTACACTGACCCTCCGAAGATCATTCCACCGAAACTCACCCCTTTACCCTATCCCTATAACCCTGCATTTCCCATGGCTAACCCACCTAGCCTTTACATCCCTGGAGACTGTGGGCAATTTAGCATGGCCAATCCACCTAATCGTATAAGGTCATTATTATATTGCTGCTGTTTGTGGAAGCTTGCTGTTTGAAGACTGACTTCCTGTATTACAACAGTGACTACACTTCCATTTTAGCTCATTGTAAAGGGCTTTGAGACATCCTGAAGATGTGAAAGGTGCTATAAATGGTCATTTCTGTACGTTATAGGAAATCCTGACCAAATGACTTGCAAAGAAGCAATAGGTCAAGGTTGAATTGGATGAGTTGGGTTAGTACTGCATTTTTGTTTTATTCTCGTGTGGGACGTGGATGTTATTTTCAAGGCCAGCATTTATTGCCCGTCTCTAATTGCCCTTTGACTGAGCAGCTTGCTCGGCCATGTCAGAAGGTGGTAAACAGTCTGGAGTCACGTGTAGGTCAGGCTAGGTAAGGAGAGCAGGTTTCCTTTCCTCAAGGAACCAGATGGGTTTTCAGGACAATTGATGATAGTTATCATAGTGCCCAATACTGGGACTATTTTATATTCCAGGTTTTACTAACTAAATTTTATATAAGATGCCATGGTGGGGTTTGAGCTTGAGTTTCCTGGAGGATTAGACTAGTCAATTACTATACCATAATGTCACCACCTCTTCTTGTTTCAAATCCTGATGAATAAGTATGATCCTCTTCCATTGTGTACAGGGCAAATTGACCTTTGCTTTTCTCAGTTCATATTCACTGTCTGTAAGTCTGAGACTGCTCTTCTCTCAACACAGACTTACCCAGATAAGTGTTGGTGAGAGTGACTGGGAGGGGGACAATTCATTGTGGGCAGAGGTGCTGGATTACTGAGGTCGAGGGGCAGAACTCCCTTCCCCGAGAGAGTTCTGCCCCGTGGTTAGCTTAACAACTCTTTGGTGTTTCTGTGCTTCTGTCATGTTGGCCTCCTCTGCACTCTTGATGTTCATCTTTTGCGCCATAGTCAGCCCTGGCTTCACGTTATAGCAACAACCGGCCCCACAGAGCGGTGCTGCTATGGTACAAAATACCAATGTTGTTGGTTCAAAGTGATTGTAAAAGAACTGTTGGAAGATTAAGGTTTTTTTTCCCCTTTGTCGAAAGGTTCAAACGTGGAGTGGCTCCAAATCTCTTGAGCTTCAAAACTCCCTTTCCAAATCTCTCCCACTCTTTCTCTTCTCTTTCAATATGTCGCTTAAATCTGTCTCTTTGACCAAACTTTTGACTGCCCCTCCTAATATCCCACTCTGTGACTCAACGGTGAATTTTATTGGATAATCACACTTGTGAAATGTCTTGGAAAGTTTGCTGACATCGAAGGTGTGATTTAAAGGCCAGTTTCGATTGGTGTTGACCCGGATCGCAGTGGGGTGATAAATCAGTTATCCGGATGTACAGTTTTCCTCTTTTAAACCGAGTGATCCAAGTCTTTCTGTTTGTTTCTAGATATCTGGCATCGCTCAGGGGTCACGTGTCAGCAGTGTATCAGGTTGCATGGTCAGCAGACAGCCGATTACTGGCAAGTGGCAGTAGTGACAGCACATTGAAGGTGTGGGATGTGAAAACGCACAAGTTGTCTGTGGACCTTCCTGGCCATGCTGATGAGGTAATATCTCCTCTTCCCTGAGCAAGATGGAAAGAAGCAGGCATGAGATGGCAGGGAGGAGTGTATAAAGAGAGAGATCCTAGAGGGTACACGAGGGCTGGCTTCAGCAACCTGCACAGATGGAAATAGACTGTCACAGTACCAAAGGAGCAGAAGAGCCCAGGATTAGGAGCCAGCAGCTTCTAAAAGTACATGTGCATATAGATACCCACTGACCAGAGACCAGGAGCTCCGGTTTCCTCCCACAGTCCAAAGATGTGCAGGCTAGGTGGATTGGCCATGCTAAATTGCCCATAGTGTTCAGGGATTTGTACATCGGTGGGTTATAGGGGGATGGGTTTGGGTGGGTGCCCTGAGAGTCGGTGTGGACTTGTTGGGCCGAAGGGCCTGTTTCCACACTGTAGGGATTCTATGATTCTAAGGAGAAGTGTCTAATTAGGCAGGTATCAGTATTAGCCTAAAACATAGGTTCTACACTGTGCTTTACTCTATGTTCATGTTACACATGAGCATTCACCTACAGGTATTTCTCCTATAACACGATAGTTGTATTCTTGTGTGACCTCACGCTATAGAAAATTGTGTTATAGGGTAATCGCTACAGAAAATCACTATATCTATACAGCAGAAAGCTTGCGTTATCCAAACAGCGTCCACTATTCATCAGTCGCATTTACAGCCAATTCACGTTAACGAGGCATATGTTACCTGGTGTCGGTTCTGCTACAACGCGGTAGTTGCATTCCTGTGCAACATCACGTTATAGAAAATCGCACTATAGAAATAATGGGGCCTATGGGAAAAGTGGGGTTGGGGCAGACCGCCAAAAAAAGTCACTCAAAATCAACCAAAAGCCTAACACGAAGGATAGCACAGTTTGAATAAATGTTTAATTTATATCTAATAACGAAATAAAAGTAAATTAACACCTTACCTTGAAACAATGTCAAGATGACTTGATGGGGGAGGAGGTTTTGAGGTTGCTCTGTTGTTAATGCAGGGGCTGAGGGTCATCATCATCATCATCATCGTCATCATCATCGTCACCTTCAGGTGTAGTTGTGGTTGCAGAGTTAGGGCAAAAAATAGTTAATCCACAAGTGGATGGCTGTGGTTCAGCTGTAGAGTTCTTCACAGTGGGACTCAAGCAGCTCTTCATTATCTGCACTCTGCACTTCCTTCAAATCCAGCTTGCTTTGCAAGATCAATACAATGTTCTTTGATTCTTGGGAGCTCCTCTGACAGATGAAAGCCTTTAAAATCTTAAAATCTGGGAGAAGTTTCCACCAAACTGCATGCCAGCAATCCTTACTGACCTTATCCGAGGCCTCCACGATAATGTCAATTGCATTCTTGATGTTAAAGCTCTTCCAGAATTGAAGAACACTGTCCTTATCCCCCTCAGTGGCTGCAATCAGCCTCTTAAATGTGCACCTTAAATAATAAGCTTTAAAAGCTGCTATTGCACCATGGTCCAAGGGTTGAAGGAGAGAGGTTGTGTTTTGGTGTAGAAATAGTACTGTCATGTTTGCAGAAAGCTCACCAATGGTGGGAGGATGGCTTGGCGCATTATCCAGGATGAGGAGAATCTTGAAATCCAAATTTTTTTCCTGCAACACTTTCTAAAAACATCCTCCAAAATATCAGCAATAAGGTCGGAAAAAATTTGCCCCGTCATCCAACCTCTTTTGCTTAACCTAGAGTAGACTTAAGGTAACGTTTCAAGGCACATATCGATGGAATTGTGTTATAGCCAACAAAAGTTTGCCTATTCATTGGTCACATTATGGCCAATTTGCATTGCTGGAACACGCATTATAGCAGAACCGTCTGTATATTACTTTGTCTCATCCTAGTATCCAATTCACTACTCGCTGTTGTACCTATCCTGCTAGCCCTATCGCAAATATGCAATTTTCCTCAAATATTCACTCAGCCACTTTGAGTATAAGTCTCTTATTGAACACTGTCCCATTCTGGCTCTGTACACATCTCCAATTATACCTGTGCTATCACCAGAAACAATGCCGTTACTCCATCTTTCACTATCTTTGAGGTGCTCATTATAAGCCATGTTTTGGATCATTTGTTCTGATAACTACTGACGTGGCTCGGCTTCAGATTTTGTTCAGTGATTGGTCCTGCACCTTTCAATGCTAAAGACTTGATTTGGCACCTCATCCACATCCACATTCGCTCTGTCCACCCCTGAGCCACAGTGACGGTGGTGTTTACCATTTACTTCATCAGCGCCCTCGAAGCCACTCACCTCTGGAAACATGAAGGAACAAGGCAGCAGATACCTGCTGGAACAGAACGTCTGCAAGTTCCTCTCCAAGCCGCATGCCGTCATGACTTGGAAATATATCGCCTTTGCTTCAAGGTCGCTGAATGAAAATCCTGAGAAAGCTGCCTCAGACAGAGCTTTCCTGCTCCCAATTCCCTAGACTGCAACAGTTCAAGTAGGCAGCTCAGCACCGGCTCCTCCAGAGTGTTTAAGAATGGGCAATAAATACGGGCCCAGCCAGCAAACTATAGAAATGATACAGCACACAAGGGGGCCATTTGGTCTATCTTGTCCATGCCAACCCAAATGCCCTTTCTAATGTCATCCTGCACATGGCCCGTAGCTCTCACATTCTATAGGCAGATAATGAAAAAAGCATAAATGCAAGCTGTTACTTCTTTTGAAGCGATCACGTGACTTTTAAACATGTCCTGGTGAGTCCTTTTGACGACAGTCTCCTCCTTTTATCCTCCAGTGAAATCGTTTAAGGCGCTTTGACCTGAGGCTTTTAAGAAATGACTGACACAGTCAGCTCAGAAATGATCACTACGCCGTCATTCTTACAGAGAAGGATCATTGACTGTTCAATCAGAAACTGTTTAGCCTTTGAATGACAGCTGAGCTTTCTGGTACTTGAGTGAATTGGATCATATGTAGTTTTCCAAGGGTTCTTTTTAAACGTAATCTCTATCAGTTCGCCATTGGCTGTATCTGAAAAATATTACAGATGTATTTCCAGGAATTCCTTCTGTCCATTCATTGCCAGTCTGGTGCATACTGAAGCCAGACCAAATGCAGCCATTTGGCTGATGGCTTGATAGCTATGGGTTTGAGTGATAAATGTGTTTCACAATATGTTTCTGCTCCATACTTCCAGGTCTACGCTGTCGATTGGAGTCCTGATGGGCAAAGAGTTGCGAGTGGAGGAAAAGACAAAGTGCTGAGAATGTAAGTAGGAAAAGGAGATGTGATTGGTCAGTTAGATGCTTGTGGGATTGAGAAAGGTGGAGGTGCAGGAGCCTCAGCTAAACTTTCTCCAAAATTACTTTATTTAACTTTGCAAATGAACTGATGCTTCTTGATACCTTTTGCAAAATCTCCTTATCCTCAGCGATAACTAAAGAAGCCGAATGTTTGTTTTATTTCTCAGTAATATTAAAAGTAAAAAACAGAAAATCCTGGAAACTGGTCAGATAGCTTCAAATTCTGTTCTGCAGGCCTAACATTCTGTGTCTCCCTCTCCCTCTCCCTCTCCCTCTCAGTTCTTGGACAAAATTGCCACTCACAACCAATCAAAATGCTGCAGCTTTGCAATTTTAAACTAAAAGACACCTCGGGCTACCATATCTTGCATCAAATCCAGCTTTGACAGAAAGTTACATATCTTGTATAACCAATGAGTTAACACCACACCGTACCACTTTCCTTCAAGTAAAAAAGTTTTCAATTTCTGCAACAAAGCATTTTCCATTTATATTTCAGTAAAATATTTGTAGTGCTCACAGTTGAGAGATTAGCGTTGGATTAGAGTTTGGTACAAGAGATAGAACTGGGAACTCTTTGTAATGTCTTGGATCTCCAGTGCGCACTATCGCAGAATAGTCTGTGTTCCCTAGTACTGATTAATATTAAGTAGTTTGGGGGACATCAGTAGCTATTATTTCTTTGACTATTTCATTGAAGGTGGTGTCGAGCTGCCTCCTTGAACATCTGCATTCATTGGAGAATGCGTACACCCACTGTGCTGTAGGAAGGGAATTCCAGTATTTTAATATGGTGACAGTGAAGGAGCAGTGATGCATTTCCAAGTCCTGATGATGTGTGAGTTGGAAGGCAGCTTCACGTTGTGATGTTTTCGTGCATCTGTTGCCCTTCTAGTTGGTAGAGGTCATGGCTTTGGAAGGTGTTGTCGAAGGAGCCTTGGTGAGTTGCCGCAGAGCATTTTTTTGATGGCCCACACTGCTACTCGGCCACAATTCATAGAGAGTGTGAATGTTGAAAGTGGTGGCTGGATGCCAATCAAGCAGCTTGCCATGTTCTGGATGGTGTGGAGTTTCTTTAATATTGTTGGAGGTACATATCTACAGCTGCTTTTAGGTTTGCACTTGCAGATAACATTTAGGGTGCAGTTCATCCACCTTTGCCCTTTAGTTGGGTAACGTCCTGAGGCACCAGGAAAGCCAAGCCCTGGATAGTATTGAAATGGTCTAGACCCAGGAACAGGCCCTTCGGCCTACAATGTTGTGCCGAACATGACACCAAATGAAATTAATCCCTTCTGCCTGCTCTTGGTCCATATCCCTCCATTCCTTGCATATTCATGTGCTCATCTAAAAGCCCCTTAAACGCCCCTAAAGTATCTGCCTTCAGCTCCACCCCTGGCAGTGCATTCCAGACTCTGACCACACACTGTGTAAATTGTCCCTCACGTCTCCTTTGTCTCTCAATATATATCGTACCATAAAGGAAAGAGAGGTCTTGCATTGAGCATCTCTTTGTCTTGTTTTACAGCTGGAGGTGGTGATGGCATGGAATATTTTGAAGAGGTCCTCTTTCATTTGTTTCTCCTCTGGATTTCACTGACGCAAACCATTTCCAGTGAAACTTCCTTCGCCACAGAAAACGAGTGTCGTTCAGCCAAGGATTGGAGGTCACTGATTTGCGATGACTGAATTAACCAAAGTCTTTTTTTGATTGTTTTGGACTCCAGGTTTTATCGGTTTTTTTGAGAGTCACAATTCCACAGTTTTCTGTATGCCTTCCCTCCCTGTCCTCCTCCCAAAGGACACCCTGGATCAATGGCGTTGTATGTGGTGTGTGGTGTATAATGTATAATCCTGCCGTGTGGGAGCCCTGTTATCTCATTGTGAAAATCAGCTGGATGCCTTTGCGTGGACACATGACGGGCCAAAGCGAAAAGCGTCGCCAGCAGGATGGTGATTTATCAGCCTTTCAGCATTTTAATAGATGTTACTGTAACAAAGGGAAGACACACGCTTCGCCATGTGATTAAATCAACGTTGACCACAAATGCGCAAGAATCTATAACTGTGGAATCCCTTATCTCCCTCATAGCTTCCTTTCTGTGTCTGAGGTGGGGGGGAAAGAAAGAAAAAAAAAAAAACAAAAATCCCTGTGGTGTACAACAACAACTTGCATTTGTGTAGCTCCTTTTTAAAAGTTTCTGAAAATCAAAGCTTGCCTGAAGCGATCTAACCGCTGTTTCCACTTGTGGGGCCGTCCAAAACGCAGGGCCATTTAATGTAAGATATTCGCTTCACAAACTTGGTGAAGAATTCGGGAGAATCCTCTTTAATCCATTCTCTGGATCCGATGGTTGGTGAGGTGGTGTTGGGATGTGTGCAGATGAATACCCGCTCTGGGAGTTTTGAGCTCAGCAGTCAAAGTGCTTTGGCCTTGCCTGATGGTAGCAGCGCTCGGGGTTGGGGTACAGAGGATGAAGGGGATTCCGAGCAGTGTTTCCCATCTGTACCCATGAAAGGCGCAGCACCCCCACCGGCATTACAGAGCCGGATTATCTCGGGGACAGCAGTGAGGCTTGTGGAATCACACCCAGGATTGGTCTCCTTCCTCGTGTCGTATAGACAACTGTGTTTCCAGAAGGAAGCTCATCACCACGTCCTGAAGGGCATTTAAAGAGTGGGCAACGAATGCCATCCCAGCCGGTGGGGCTCATATCCCGTGAAAAGAAGCATGCGTTTAAATTTCTGAATGACCAGAAAATTTGGTTTGTTTCGTGACATTAGCAAGGATCTGTTGTCGATAAAGGCCCAGCTTTTATTGCCATGCTTTTTCCTCCATTCTCTCACTAATAAGGCAACTTTGTGACATTCGCCATTACTGCTGTCTGGTTAACTTTACTTCATTTGTTCATGGGGTGTGGGCATTGCTGGCCAGGCCAGCCTATATTACCCATCCCTAATTGCCCTGGAGAAGAGCCAGGGACAGAAAAATCATCGGTCCCAGTGCAACTCCTCGACCCGCCTGCTGTCTCCGATCCTAGTTATTGGGCCCTGATGCACCCCCTCATCCCGGGACTCAGCGCTAAGTTGTCCACTTGGAACTGCTGTAGTCCTTGATATACAGGAACAACCATAGTGCTGTTAGGGAGGGCCTCAAAGGACGGGGACCCAGTGATAATGCAAGAAACTGTGTTAAAGTGGCTTGGATTCTATTAACGTAAAACAAAGAACAGAGAAAGTTGAAAATCTGAAGCAAAAACAGAAATTGCTGGAGAAACCCAACAGCATCAGTGGAGAGGGAAAAACGGAGTTAATGTTTCAAGTCCGGTGACCCTTTTCCAGAGCTGAATTTCTCCAGCAATTTCTGTTTTGGGGTTTTATTAATATTTGACTCATTTCACTGCAGGGAACATTGCAGCACAGTCAATGAAACCACCTGAACATGTGGAGGTAGCAGACCTTTTGTCCTATAATGACAAAAATTAACTACTCCACCCTCTGTGTGATTTGTCTCTCCTTTATTGTAAAAACATTACTGTAATCCCATTGTAAATTGAGAATGGTGTGGTTAGTCTTCTGCAAAGCTCAAATGGACCTGTTGTTATATTACGAAAAACTGTTATTCTCAGAAGACTTGCAGTGGACAGTTTAAAGGCAAGCTATAAAATGATTTTATTTGCATAAAAATAAACCAATTTATTTGAAACAACTGCTGAGTTGGATTGAATTATAAACTGTAATACAATGCCTGCATTGCTGTTAGCAAAACACTGAAATTCTGTAGCAAAATCGGAAATTGCTGGAGAAACTCAGCAGGTTTGGCCGCATCTCCGGAGAGAGAAAGAGTTAATGTTTCATGTCTAGTGACCCTTCTTCAGAATGAGAATTCTGTGCAAATTTTGCTTTATTGCTAGTGGGTTCCTTGTCCTGTTTGAATGAAATCGTTTTTGTTATTTACTATGGGGCATATCTATTCATTGATAAAGTTGGAAGAGTCAAGGGTTAAATGTAGGATACCATCAAGATTGGATATGATGATTCAGACAAGAGATGCCTCCAAACAGTAATTTGTATTTATTTAAAAATCTCTCTTGATTGGCTTGGTGATATAACAATGTTGTTATCTGGAATACACGGCCTGAAAGGATGGTGGAAGCAAATTGAACAATAATTTTCAAGAAAGGGAATTAAATGAATACTTGGGGGAACGATTTACAGGCCTGTGGAGAGAGACAGTGGAACCAAATTTTAAAAATATCATTCATTCTCAGGATAGGGTGCTACATTACAAGGCCAGCATTTATTGCTTGCCCCTAATTGCCCTTGATAAGGTGATGGTGAGCTCCGTTGTTGAATCGCTGCACTCCTTATAGTATATAATGCTGTAAGGGGGGAATTACAGGATTTTGACCCAATGACATTGAAGGACCGGTGATGGTGAGTGGCCTAGAGGGGAACTTGCAAGTGGCGGTGTTCCCATGCATCTGCTCCCCTTCTAAGTGGTAGCTGTTGAAGGAGATTTGGCGACGTTGTTGCAGTGCATCTTGTAGATGGTACACACTACACGTCGGTGGTGGAGGATGGGATGATAAGCAGTCTTTATGGTGCCGAGCTTCTTGAGTGTATTTGGAACAGCCTCCATCTAAGCAAGTGGGGAGTATTCCATCACACTCCAGACTTGTGAAGGTGGTGGACATGTTCGGGTTGCATAGTCTCAAGATCATAAAACAAACCAAATAGCTAATTGCAAAAGTGTTGTAACTTAAATCCATAGCACAATGTCTCCTTTCAAAATGTGCCCAAAGAATTATTCTGGACTTTCAGATTGTGGAGTTGGACGGTTCTAATCTCATTTGTTATTGGTGGAGTGGGATTGATTCTAAATAAAGTTACTGCATTTCTGTAACACCTTTCATGACTACGGGACGTTTCAAACTGCTTTACGACTAATGAAGTAAGTTTTGAAGTGTAGTCACAGGTGTAATGTTGAAAGTGAAGCAGCCAATTTCCCATAAAAGGCAAGATCCTGTAATGTAGAATCCCTACAGTGTAGAAGCAGGCCATTTGGCCCATTGACTACATGCCGACCTTCCAAAAAGTATCCCACCCAGGCCCCCACCCCATCCCTGTAACCCTGCATTTCCCATGGCTAGTCCACCCATCCTGCATGCTATAAGGCAATTTAGCATGGCCAATCCACCTAACCTGCATATTTTTGGATTGTGGGAGGAAACTGGAGCACCTGCAGGAAACCCACACACACCCAGGAGAACGTGCAAATACCACACAGACACCTGAGGGTGGAATTGAATCTGGGTCATTGGCACAGTGAGGCAGCAGTGCTAACCACTGTGCCACCCACAAATTTTTGTGTGTTGTTTGAAGAACGGATGTTGACTGCGACACTGGGAATAACTCCCCTGTCCTTTTCGATTCTACTATGAAATGTTTTGCATCCACAAGATGAAAAGACAGATGGGAACTGAGTTTGATGTGAAAGGTACTGTCACTGGGAATGTCAACAGTGAATTTTGCGCTCAGGTCTAGAGATTTGAACCCACGTTGCTTCTGGTCAGCACATTACAGTAAGGATGTGACTGCTGTGGACAAAGCACAGAAGAGATTTGCGAAAATGATGCCAGGAATGAAGAATTTTCACAATGAGGAAAGATCAGTCAGGCTGGGATTGTTTCTTTAGGACAGATGAGGTTGAGAATGATTTCCTTGAGGTGTCTTTTTTTTAAAAAAAAAAAAATGAGCTGCATTTATAGAGTGGGTAGGAAGGACACATTTAGCTAATAATTTGGTGGCTCCCATTTTAAGAAATGGGATTGAAGGATTCGGGGGGAGTTTGAGCTGTTTCTTCCAAGCAGATGGAGTCTGGAACTGCTTGTAGTATCATTTTAAAAACTTGGATTGAAATGCTGAAATGGGCCCAAGAGTTTGGAAATTTGATGCATCATTTTGGGCAAGAGAGGACACGATGTCCAGAATGGCCTTCCGGCAGCGTTCCCTTGAATTTTCTTCCCAGCTGCGTGGGCTGTGCGGAGCCTTGGGGCACCTGCCTAGAAGGAATACGGTCATAGAACAGGACAGCACAGGAACAGGCCCTTTGGCCCATTAAGGTTGTGCTGAACATGAGGCCAAATTAAACTAATTCTTCCTGCTTGCCCTTGCTCCATATCCCTCCATTCCTTGCATATTCACGTGCTTATCCAAAAGTCCCTTAAACACCCCTGTCGCATCTGCCTCCACCATCACCCCTGACAGCGTGTTCCAGACTCCTGTCACTCCCTGTGTTTAAAACAAAAACTTGTCCCTCACATCTCCCTTGAACTTTCCTCGTCTCACCTTTTAAATGCATTCCCCCTAGGATCAGACATTTCAACTCTGGGTAAAAGATTCTGACTGTCAACCCTACCTTTGCATCTCATAGTTTCACAGGCTTCTGTCAAGTCTGCCCTCAGCCTCCGCTGCTCCAGAGAAAACAACCCAAGGGTTTTTTTTTTAGCCTTTTCCATGCTCTAAATTCTCTTTCAAAGTCGTAAAGAATAAGAGGGACGAGGTGCATGTTCCCCCAAGATATCCACAATCCTCTCATTCTGGCCTCTTGCACATTCCGGATTGTAATCTCTCCACTACCAAAGGCCTTGCCTGCAGATGCCTGGGGCTCCCAGCTTCTGGAATACTCTCCCGATGCCTCTTCATCTCTCTACCTCAGTTAGTTCCTTTAAGATGCTTCACAAAACTTCCTTGTTTGACCAATCTTTTGGTCGTCTTTCCTCATACATTCCCACAGTGAAAATTAAAACAGAAAATTCTGGAGAAACTCAGCAGGTGCTGTAGCATCTGTGGAGATCAAAATAAAAGAGAGTTAACATAGGCTGATACCGAGTATGGAGGCTGTCTGTCTGATGAGGAGAAGTTGAGTAGTTTGGGCCTGTCCTCATAGGAATTTAGAAAAATGAAAGCGACCGTAGAGGACTTGACAGATGGATGTGGTGGGAAAGTCTAGGACCACAGGGCACAATCTCAGAATAAGGGACTGCACACTTAAGACAAGAAGGAATTTCTTCTCTGAGGGTTGTGAATCTGTGGAATTCTTTACCACAGAGGGCTGTTGAGGCTGGGTCGTTAAGTATATTTACAGCTGAGGGAGACATTTTTTAATTAGTTTGAGAATTGAGGGTTATTGGGAAAGGACGGCAAAGTTGAGTGGAGGATTATCAGATTAGCCATGATCTCATTGAGTGGTGAAGCTGACTCGAAGGGCTGAATGGCCTACTTCTGGTCCTAATTTATAATTATGCCTTGGTGTTATATAAATTAAGCTGTTGGAGGAGGTGTTGTGACCAATAGGATAATAGACCGAGGAAGGGTAGGTCTTTTGGTACGGGAGGGTTGCAAAGATAGGATTGGCCAATGGCCTCTTTGCTGTTCATTTCCCTTTTTTTTATTCATTAACAGGATGTAGACATCACTAGCTAAGCAGATATTTATTGTTTTCAAGCCCTATTGAAATGAATGCTAACATTGCATTTGCCTTCCTAACTGCTTCTGAAGAGACTTGGGAGTCTTAGTTCAGGATTTTCTTAAGGTTAATATGCAGGTCTGAATCAGATGCTTTATGCTTCAGATTTCTGAAGCATTTTATCATTTAGAAAATCATCTCGCCTCTATTCTTCCTACCGAAGTGCATAACTTCACATTTGTATTCCATCTGCCACTTCCTTGCCCGCTTTCCTAGCCTGTCCACATCCTTATGTAGCCTCCCTGCTTCCTTAACATGACCTACTCCTCCATTTATCTTTGTGTCATCACCAAACTTAGCAATAATGCCCTCAGTTCCTCCATCAAGATAGTTAATGTGTAACATGAATAGTTGTGGTTCTGGATTTTTATTGAATTTAAATTCCACTATCTGTTATGGGGGGATTGAAACACTATCCCCAGAACATCATCTGGGTCTCTAGATGAAGAACATAGGAACAAGAGTAGGCCATTCAGCCCCTTTAGCCTATGCTGCCACTCAATGAGATCCTGGCTGATTTGTGGCCTAACTTGATATACCTGCCTTTGGTCCAGAATCCTTAGAACATTTTTCTTTAGCAAAGGTATTATTTTAGATTTAAAATTAACAATTGCGAGCATCAACTGCTGATTGTGGAAGAGAGTTTCAAACATCTACCATCTGTTATGTGTAGAAGTGCTTCCTTACATTTCTCCTCAATGGACCTTGTTGTTAGACTATGCTCCCTAATTCTAGAAACCTCAACCAGTGGAAATAGTGTCTGAACTGTGTCTCATTAATTCTTCAGTGATAATATCACTTAGCTATGTCCTCCCCATAATCATGTTGCTATGAAAGGATGTTTCCTCTTGGGGTAATCTAGAATGAGAGGTCATAGTTTTAGGATAAGAGTTGGCAGATTTAAAACAGATGGGGAGAAATTACTTTTCAAAGGGCCACAAATCTGTGGCATCCACTACCTCAGAGTGTGGCGGATGCCGGGACGTTAAGGAGGGGATAAACAGATTCTTAAATAATAATGGGTTAGAGGGTTAAGGAGAGCGGGCAGGAACGTAGGGTTGAGGCCAAGATGAGGTCAGCCATGATCGTATTAAGTGGCGAGGAGCAGGCTGGAGGGGCTGAGTGGCACACCCTTGCTCTCAGTTCTCAATGTTGTGTTGCTAAGGAGCATTGAGCAAGCAGGAGGATAAGGCTATTGAGCCCTTCCCTTCAGCCAGCCCATTGTCCCCATTAGTGGGGTGGAGGTCCCTTTAACAGTTGTCAATCAAACTCCTTACATAAGGGACGGAAATGACGCACGAGTGGGGGGTACGTCACAGTCAGGGTCCATCTCTTTCTGCAAAAACAAACTATTGCACGTTCAATGTTTTTATTCCACATACACACAGACAGGCAGACACACATTTGCTCTTATTGCTGCAGACGCCCCTCAGGATGCAACTGCTGTCTGAGCGGAGTAGGCCTCTCCAGGCCTGAAGTGAAAAAGGGATAGTGAGACCCATTTGACTTGTTTCCTTCTGGGATCCAGAACAACAAGAGCGGGGGTGGGGAACTATTTCGCAGGCGGCGGAGGAGCGCGGGGCGGAGCGCGCCCATGTAAACAAACCGGGCGGAGGGATACGCGAACGGCCGGTGAGGAGGCCGGCGGAGGGAAAGAGGTGGGGGTGGGGAATAAAAAGCCGTTGGTGGGGGAGGGGGAGAGACCTTAACCGCGGAAAACAAAACCCTGTCCTCGCTCCACGTCAGGGGCGAGTCGCGCCTTGGGGGTCCGCACGTATTCCCCCTTCGGTGCAGTGGGGTGGGAGGGGAGAGAATGGCGGGGGAAGGAGCGCACTGTTTGCGCAGGGCGGAGGGAGACAGTATTGGGGTCGGGTGGGTTGTGCTGCGGCTCTATATAAGGCGCGTTGCGGCGGCTCGCTCCCTTTAGTCCGGGTCGTCGTCAGCGGCGGCGGGAAGTGCTTGGCGAAGTGAAGGGGAGGATGGGCTGTTGTGTGTTTTAAAAAATCAAACCCTGCTGCCATGACAGGAGGAACAATAAAAACACCCTAGCAACACCACAGGGAGCGGGTGGCGAAAGGGTGTCGTTTCTATTTTGGTGGCTCCACCGTTGAGGGAAGGCTTGCATAATCACCCGCTTTTATTTATATATGTACACACATACACATTTGTATAACTGTATGCTCTATTTAATGCTAAGTATGCGTAGGAATCAGACCCCAGCGGAGTGGGATTATGCTGGGAGAGCTGCTGCTGCTTCAGCTTCTTCAGAGCTGCTGGCGTTCGCTGGGAAAGTCGGTTGTTACTCTCTGAGGGAGGAAGAAACCCTGCCAGCGGCATCTCCGTCCTCGTCACTCACCACTTTCCTCTCGTCCTCCCTCTCCTCTTAGCCCCTCTTCCGCAGTTTTGCCGGTTATGGAGGTAGTGGGGGATTTCGAGTACAACAGGAAAGATCTCATAGGACACGGAGCCTTTGCTGTGGTCTTTAAAGGCCGTCACAGGAAGGTAATGAGCTGTGGGCACTTCGGGGGGGGGGGGGGTGCGGTGGGTGATCTGAATGCTGCAACAGATTTTATATAAGCGCTCCCTCACGACTTGGGGGTGGCTTCAAACCTGTTTGCGTTGCCACACGTGCGTGCAAACTTGTGAGCTCTTTCGTGAATGTTTCTCAGGCACTCTTATCCTAGACGGGCTCTGATGTTAAGTTGTCATAAATGCAGCTTTAGTGATTGCAGCTTTGATGTGCATGCCTGTTACATGATTGCTGCCAGTGCACCCACACTCGGCTCTGCCAGTTGGTTGCTTTTTTTGCTGGCATGCCCTTTTGTGTGGGTTGTTAACTGTTAACCTGTATCTGTTGCGGTCGCTCGAGTGGTGCATTGTATCTTAGGCACAATAGATGAGCTGGACAGTGCATTCCTCGCCCCCTTCTGAAATCCAGGCACTCGTTTCATTTTAGTGCATGAGAGCACGTTTGGTTTTTCGTCTGGATTGTGTCCAGCTTTGTTAAAATGGACGAGGTGTTTCATGGTTAAACGAAAAGCCTCCTTAACATTGGCGGTTATAGATTAGTTTGGATTATAGGTGGGCATGGTGTACTTTACGGATTGTGGAAATCATGTAGCCTTTTCTTTGTCACTGTGAAAGATGTTTTCTATGTTCATTTGCTGAACTTGATCTCTACTTCCTGACTGACTTTCTGTAGCATAAATGTGGAATAGTATCTTGGTGTCTGTTTGGACATGTGATGGGAGCTCTGAAGTCTGCACTTTGTTGCTCCTTTCCAATTTCTCAGGGAGGTGCAAACCTGTTCCCAGCTGGATAGATATCAGGGTTGCATTGATGAGTCTCTAACAGTCCTGGCTTTGAGGGATGTGGGCATGGGAGATCCCTTACCAGTTGCTAAAAACTATCCATTGTCTCTGATACTTGGTACTATTGAGATTATTAGAACCCAAATTTAGTGTGATGACTGACAGTCAGTAGTTTTGCTAGTTTTTTTTAACCTACCATTGATTATTTTGGTGAGGATATTACATACAAATTATTATGAATTTTAAAAAAAAACTTCTATTACATTTTAACTTCTCTTAAGAGAACCTCCGGTGCTGGGATGTGGTTTAAGTGGTAGCCTCCGATACCTCACCAAATAATCATTCTTATCCTTGACAATTTTGTCAGGATAACAACAGAAGTTGCTGGAGAAACTCCACATCTGTGGAGAAAGGTGGAATTGGAATTTTGAATTCACTGTGATTGTTTTGAACCCAAGGAATCTGTAGTCAATTATTGCGCTGCCAGTACTGCTCTAATTTAGGTATCCAGGGCAGACCAGAGACTGTCCCTGTGATTCTCTGGGCCATCAATCTCTTCATGAGTGATTTCTGGTCATACAAACCCCAGGTTTATCTGTTTGAGTTGTTGGAGGTCCCTTTTTTGTTCCCATTTTTAATTTGTTTCTACGCAGTCTGTTTCTACACATACCTATTTCTAAACGTAAGACCATTAATGCTGCTATCAACTTGTGTGTTAAGCATTTTGAGAATGGTGAGTGATGTTCCATCTTCAAATTTCTTTTTGTTTAGGCTTGACTAGAACATGGATCGCAGGATCTGTACTTTTCTTTCCTTGTGTATTGGTACACAAATCTAATGTGTTACAGAGATTGTAGGAACTGCCGATGCTGGAGAATCTGAGACTACAAGGTGTAGAACTGGATGAACACAGCAGGCCAAGCAGCATCAGAGGAGCAGGAAAGCTCCTCT